TGGCTTACTCTGCGCCCATTATGTGTCCAAGACTCAGACGTCTGCATGTACTTACTGCGCGTGCGTCCCACGTCGGTCGACTGTTGGTCTGTCCAATTGTCAACCCACCCCCCGCTCATTGACAGCTCGTACATCCAACCGAAGGGAGGGGGGGGTGCTGGGTGAAATTATAGATTTTGCGATGAGTGGGTCATTATTACTATTAGGGTATAATATACTAGATCACCATACATAATTTAGTAAAGACCCCTCACTGCACTATTGTCAGCATGCATTCCTCTTGTTTAGACACAAGTGCATCATTCAGCAACATGGCGGGCGTCGACGATCATTAGATCACAGGTTCTTAGTGCGATGTCTATGTATGAGAGCTGGCTGGCGATTCATGAAGTGCTATAGATCAATCTCCAATGATACATGGGCAATGCAGAGGCACATCCCTCGCCAACAACCCGTTCTATGATTACATTTCACGCATCGATTGCAGCCTCTTGCTAGCACAGCACGGAGTCGAGCTACCAGTATCGTGTGACCAGATTACCGCTGTCGATGAGCATTCCGTGGTAAGTACGTCGGAGGAGCACATTGCGAGACTCTCCAGCAGAAACTGCTGGGATAGCTGCCACACGAGACAGCTGGGTTGTACTAGTACTCTCTTCTCTTACCATCTCCATAATGGAGAGAGCCGCCTCTCGAGGCAGCTTGGTTAGTACTAGGTAGCTATATATACTCTCTTTCTTTACCATACCATAAAGGTTTAGGTATAAATCATTATAATGTGGAAGGAAATCTCACAATTTTACATTGTTGCCCAATCATTACACCTTTCGATTTCGCCCTTATTCATCATATTTTGATTAACAATTTAGGCACAAGTGTACATATAATTATGCAGTTGTTTTGTTCATAGGGCATACAGCATTATGTACACCCCTGTGAGTGTTTTACTTAACAGTAGTTAGACACGTATCACTGCTCGTATGATGTATTTTTCAGCTTGTATACTAATTGTTGCACTGTTTTTCTTGTGTTAACTGTAGTTGGCAGAGTGGTGGTTGCAAGGTGGCATATCTTGGTTGGCGTTTGCCTGTAGCGGTCCACGTTAGTCCGGCCATCATCTTCCCACCTCAGCCCATTCATGACACCGAATCCTTCCTCAGGTGAAGCAACATGAATGCCATGGTGTGCTCGTGTGTTAAGATTTTTCTTTGTCTGTTCAACTCACAGAGTGGCCACTGGGTTTGCTCTTGCATACATCAAGTGGGACATGTTGATTCAAAAGTAAGAGTACACTAGCTATTATAATAATGCATGGGTCATGTTTCAAGCCTATGTATATACCTACAGTTGTCTGAATTGCGCAATTTTCCAAGGTACACAAATACCACATTCTAGCTCTAAAATACACCTAAATTTGCACTCATATTAATGTGTTACATTTGTTTATCTCTCCCTCCTTCCTTCTTCCTCCCTCCCTCTCTCCCTCCTTCCCTCCTCCTCCCTCCCTCCCTCCCTCCTCCCTCTCCCTCCCCTCCCTCCCTCCCTCCCCTCCCTCCCTCCCTGTATATACCAAGTGAGGCTATTCCACCAGACGTCTACCGAGGAAAGCCACTGTGTATGTCGCAATACGACTTGTTCCAGAAGTGCCGTATCCCCACGACCAGGATACGGACGAGAGCATTCAGACACCCATTTCCGAGGCCCGTCACATCATCGTCATCAGAAATGGACACGTGAGCCACGCAACCACTCGGAACATTCTAGAATAACCTGCATGCACCTGTGTTTCTGAAGGAGCAATTGGGATACTAGATCCCACGTGGCACGATCTCTATAATTGTGTACTGTTGTAAGACTAAAGCTCAAGTTAGGTCTTAAACATGATGTTGAGTTTATGACAGTGTATGAGCCACTACTACTCGCTCAGAAGCTGAAAGCTGTGTGATGCCGCAAGTGATGTTTTGAAGCAAGCAGTTTGTGTAATTTGTCTGGTGAAACCCCGAAAACTTAAATTCATTAAAACTCATTGTTCTAAAGAGAAATCAATCACCATAGTTGTGACTACTTCATCTGTTATGAACTGCCCAACTTGTATTATTCCACATCTTCAGTTTCGTTTTCATGTCCCTCGGTCTCTCCTCAGTTCTTCAGAGTAGACGTACTGTACGAGAGTCCAGATGGAGTCCTGAGCATGGCTCCGGCCTCCCACATCATGCGGCAGCTGGAGACTGTCCTCAGTGACGCCAGAGAGCCGGCCCAGTTCCCAGTGGGGATCCTCACCTCTGAACACCGGGACACCTGGACACACATGAGAGAGAGACTCGCCAGCGGTACAGAGAGTTTTTATAGGGGATTAGCACAGTTGTGACGTAACACCCGAGCAAGGGCCGCAAAAAGAGCTTGAGAATAACCCCCTGCGTCCCTGCTTTGGTTTAAAGCCAGACATGTATAATGGAATGTGCATCTCAATGCACTGTATCCTAGATGTTGGTCGCCCATCACACTTGCTGCGTGCACTTGCTTGCCTAAAGTTTTAAGCCACCCTTTTAACTACCGCACTCTCCAGCTATATAGTCAGGGTGTTCTTGAAGTTAGCTGGCCTATACTTCCCACCACTTGCTCACCAATCCACCTTATTTTCCACGTGAACTACTGCACTCTCCAGCTATAGTCGTAGTGTTCATAAAGTTAGCTAGCCTATCCTTCCCACCACTTTCTTCCTAAAAGTACGAAAACGTTAGGCCGTCCTCTTTTCACCGACCCTGAGGATTTTGCACCACACTCCCCAACTCCTCAGATTACATCTTTACTGCAGCATGCTCCTTGCCTATATACCCAACACAGACCCATTCAACAGGACTGCTCTAAGAGACATAGAGACGGCCATATTGTCGGTGTGCCTCGACAAGGCTCACCCACAGGTCCCCAATTCTCTACCTGCCGTCAGAGACTCACACCCCGAGATCCTCACCAAGAGAGCACTCCACGGCAACGGGACACAGCACAACAGCTGCAACAGATGGTTCGACTCTGCAGTACAGGCAAGTCATTCTCAACAATTCTATTGGATTTTTAGGTTTGTAATTTTTTTCAATTGTGGAAGAATCACCATCAATCACAGGCTTTGGTCCCAAGCATGTAGGCTACATAATATTTACAGGCTTATACATAATATACACATTTGTTCATCTTGCTGGTAATATTCAGCAGAACGTATCAACTACCATAGTACTATATATGAGTTAGTGAGGGAGGTTGTAGAAGCTCATCTCTGTCACTCTTGTAGCTTGTTTTATGTACATACATGCCATGCAGATAGTGATAGGAGAAGACGGAGGGTGCGGCTCCATTCTGGAACATTCCGCAGGCGACGGGCCCGCTGCCATTGCCTCCAATATCTTTGTCATGGACCTTCTCATTCGGTCAGTCACTCTCCCATGAAAACCTCTTACTTCTACCAAAGTCCGATACTGCATGCATGCAGCGACACAGAACAAACTAAGGTGCATCTTTCACTCTACTGTAGAGCTGTTTTCACCGGTCCATAATTTTGCAAAGTTGCATGCAACTTCAAATGTACAGGGTATGATGGGTCCACGCAACAAATAGACTATGTATTGGGTGCAACATGTGGCGTGGACCTTCAACTTCAAATGTATGGGCATGATGGTCTATGCATCAAAGTTGTGAGCATGCAACATGTTGTGCAAACCATCATATCAATACATTTGTATACAACTTGTGTCTCACGCAAACAAAGTTGCATCGTGTATCGTGGACGATAGGTCTATTCAACTGCAGGAAGAAGTACGATGTGTTTGCCGATGAGTCGGCGGTTGACCCGAGTGTCCTCAAGCCGGCCAAGATGCTCCAGTGGAGGATTTCTCCATCCACTGCTGCCGACATACAGACCGCCTCCCACGACATGGACAAGTGAGTCCTCCTGTATCGCGGTCTCAATGTTCAGTGGAATGTACAAGCTCTCCGTGCTACACTTACATACAGTACGTGAATGCGACACATTATTGGTGAGAGAATACTTTAGTCCAGGTTTTGGTGTTTTATGTGAATGCAAACAGGCCTTCATTTTAGTAGTGGCTCCTTTCCAGGCTGGTTGAGGATACTGACCTGGCCTGCCTGATGTTTTCCGACTTTGGGAAAGACTTCTGCAAGACCGTCAAACTCTCGCCGGACGCCTTTGTTCAGGTTGCCATCCAACTGGCCTTCTACAAGTGAGCCACGGTGTGACATGTCTTTTGTGTGTGTGTGCATGCGTGCGTGCGTGCGTGTGTGCGTGTGTGGAAAAGAGCAAAGATTAGACAACTCCGAATGATTAACGTGTTGCTTGATAGAGCATGAAAGGGCTACTTAATTCACCACCTTGTTTCCGATCAGGTTAAGTAGTATGTAGATACATAGCATAAGAAAAAGCGATGGAATGTGTCTATCTTAAGTATATAAGTAGATACGAAAAAGCAATGGTTCTGAATGGTGTCTTTATTTGACTGGTTGCTGCAGGCACTATGGCCACCCAGACGGCCATGTATGAAAGTGGAGGAACTCGTTGGTTCAAGTATGGTAGAACAGACACCATTCGCTCCACTACCAATGCCTCCCATGCCTTTCTCAAAGCCATGACCAACCCAGACACACCGGTATATATATAATATAGTACTGACGCACATACTCACTGTTAATAAAAAGCAAATGATAAAGCGAGCCTGTTAACCCAAGAATGGGTGTGTAACTGGACAAAAATGCAGCAAAATTCGGGCCACCCCACGTCTAAAGTCCCACTTTAGCAGTGATTCATTCAATGGAGATGTGTTGCAATGTGTGTGTGTGTGTGTGTTGTGTGATTTGTGAAGAAAGAGAAAAGGAGAAGGGTTAAGGAGAAAGGGGGGGGAGAAGCAGGGCTGGGAGGGCTTTTGTCCGCATCGCCCGGGCAGCAGCCCAACATTCATGCGGTCTTAGCCTAGGGACTTACTACGCCCGCAACCACGTGCGCAGGAGTATCACTATATGTATGGTATGTATTTGGCCGGTCATCAGGGAAGTACCTATTTCCGTCATTGTATGACAACGGGTTTCGGTCCCTTTAACTTTCCGACCCGAGGTCAACTCTGGAATAGGCGGGACCACTCCCCAGCAAGGAGTCCGGCATAAAATGTATACTTACATTAGTGTCTATGTTTTATGCTGTATATCTCGCTCACCTTTTCCTCTCTTGACTTTCTCTCTGGTTTGTAACTATAGTGCTTGTTGTATTAATAGTCTAGCTAGTTATGAATATTAATAAGTAGTGGTTTTGGCACAGGATGTGGATACTATTGTGACAGCTGATTGTTGAAATATACATATTAATGTGTGTGGTGTGTGTGTGTGGTGTGTGTGTGTGTTTGTGTGTGTGTAGGCGGAGGAGAAAGCTAATCTTCTGGTGAAAGCCATCGCTGCCCACTCCAAGTACACAGAAGATGTAAGAAACTATGCCAAGGTTTCATAATGTATTGATGACACCATTGTTCAGGCCATATCGGGTCAGGCCATAGATAGACATCTGCTGGGTCTGAAACTGATTGCAGCCGAGAACGGAATAGAGACGCCGGGACTGTACAGTGACGTGGCATACTCCAGAAGTCAGCACTTCAGACTCAGCACCAGCCAGGTATGCGTGTCATGCTCGGCCTGCGTTGTGTGAGAATATCGGCAGCTACACTTGGCGGTGGAAGTCAATGATTCGGTATATACACGGATGTACATATATAGAAGCTCTCAGTACAGTGAAACCTCCGAATGAAGGACATCTCTCCATAAAGGACACTTGGTTGAACCCCATACCTAATTTGGCAGGACTCAAACCCCAGCACTCTGTATTCTTCATAGTGCTCCTTCTACTGAACTCGGGAGGCATGGCTCAAACTTGAACCCCCCAGACAAGGAAGGCAATCACATGCAAAATATAGGACATTTTCCTCAGAAAATCCCTTATATGGGCGACCGAAGTTGTTCAACATTTGCCAATGCCTATATTATCCTGGGGGCCTCCCCTCTCCTCCACAGGTTCCAGTGGCCAACTACCGACTGTTCCTCTGCTTCGGAGCGGTCGTGGAGGACGGCTACGGCGTGTGCTACAATCCGCGGGAGCACGAGATCATGATGACGGTCAGCTCCTGGCACAGCTGCCCCGACACAGACAGCCTCGTCATGTCCAGCTGTCTCCAGGAGAGTCTCAGAGAAATGAGGGATCTGCTGGTCAGCACCGGCAGAGCCAAGGCCAACGCAAAACTATAGCAATGGTGCTGAGATAATCCACCATCATTTATTGGACTCTCATTACAGGTAATGGCTATATTTTTGGAACTTCGGACTATAAGAGATTTAAACACTGAAGTATAATGGCACTGCTGCTTTGCTTTGTTTGAGATGATCTGCCACGATCATTATGCATCGAGGATTAAATTAAGTACATGCATCAGTGATCTGCCACGATCGTTATGCACCGAGGATTAAGTACATCAGTGACCTGCCACGATCATTATGCACCGAGGATTAAGTACATCAGTGATCTGCCACGATCATTATGCACCGAGGATTAAGTACATCAGTAGGTGTTTTGATTGATGGGGTGACTTTGAGTTCAATACAGCAGACCTGTACGTGGGGCTGGGTCAACAAACACTATAATACCTAGCACTGGTAACATATTTGAGTAACGTATATTTTCAGATTTAATGCCAATAGCTTTGTATGTATCCACAATCAATAGTACACCAGTTTAAGGAGACAGGGAGGGATGACTTAAAATGATCTGCTTTCTCTTCTTGTGCAGTATCCGGCTGGGCTGTGTACTGTTAAACCCACACATAGTGTTTGAGTGCACGTAGTATATATAATACAAAACAGAGTGAGGAAGGAGGAGGAAGGAGGAAGTGTTTTAAGAGCTTGGTCTTGAACGGAGGACAATCACAACTGTGTGAGAGAGAGAGGGAGGGGAGGGGAGGAGAGAGAGTACACCTAATGCCAACACAAATTGTCACATGACAATGTATGAGAGATTAGCCCAGCAAACTGTATAATATACAGCATGGACCCAAGATTCCTCCCATACTGGTTCAGTTTGCATGACCTTTGTCTCACCCAACACACATACGTTGTATGTTGACCTGAACAGTTGCCATTCTACAGATATGCATACATGGTAATAGGTAGTAATGGAGAGGTGCAACAGTTAGTGCAAATGCCGACTTACTGATTATGACTGAGACCAAAATCAGCACCAGAGCAACAATAAAGAGCTTTATCTACAAAAGGAAGCATTGACACAATGATTAATGTACAAGGGATGTCAATGGGGTTGGGACATTGAGCTATTCATAGACACAGATGACATCACAGTGCAGTGCTATTTATAGACTGGGACCCACCCTGAACTGCTGCCACCAGGCCTTTCTTGCCATCCGTCTGGATGTAACTCTGAAGGTAGTGGCACTGCCCACCAACTCCTCTGTAAAGAAAACGGTGTGACCCTTAGTTAATGAACACTCTGTAGGACTGTACATATAAAGGAAAACAGTAAAGGGTCTCTCGCTTTAGTCTCACCTGACTTGTCCTGAAGGTCAGTAAGCTTCTCTCCTCTCTCCAGAACCTTAGAGATGTTGTCTTTCATGACCCCCATCACTCCCTGGACTTGCCGTTGCACTCTGGGAGGGAGGAGAGGAAAGACCAACTCCTTCCCCCCATTCATGGACACTAGCCATTCAAAAAGCACTTGGACTAAGAACAATGGGAATGTTGCTTCACTAAAGGAACTGTATTGGGGCAAACCACCACCCCGCACACAGTACTATATGGTATAGGGTAGACAAGCACATATGTAGGCAGTTCATTATTAGGAAATTTCTCCCCCCACTCACTGTTTGATCTTCTCGTTGCCGTGCTCCGTTCTCACTGGTTGGTGGTTCACCCTAGAAGATTGGTGGGGACCATTTGGAGTCATGTTGAGAAAACTGCATATACACGAGACACAGCAAGTGTTTTGGCTTTCTACTACAGGCCAACTCACATTTCCTCCTCTTCTTCGTCTGAAGAGTAGAGTCCTAGAAGATGGACCTAAAGAAACGGCACAATTGAAGCATTGACGTGTCGTACTCTAGCCCCAAACGACGGCAGTAGTTACACGGCCTACCCTGTCTCGGTCCTCCGCACTCCCTCTCTTGAACTTAGGCGGCATTCTCGAACTAGGAACAGAGCAAGCGCCACCGAGCGTATTATGTAGTTTGTGTGAATCGTGAATCAGCACACCAATGGTGTTACGTAATTTGTACTTTGACCTGCACACATGGCGTGTGCAAGTGCGAGGATGCAGAGGCTAGTAGCTGTGCGTCGGGCGCCTCAATTGCTGGTCAGCATGAGAAGATTTTCAGAAGAGAGACTTCCAACCTTGACCCTGTTCACCAAGAAATACGTAGGTAATCTCACGTTGTCCACAAAGTTGGGAAAAATACCTGTTCGTAGAGTCCTTGTTCCCTATGCGATGATGCTAAAGAAGTGCTGAAACAATATGAAAACGAGGTATGCAATGGCATTCTATATATACCACTGTATAAAACTGAACTTTTTTTTGCAGTTCATTTACGAAGAGGAGTACATAGACTTGGCTGAAAACAAGGAGTGGTTTGAGCGGTACAAATACGACATCCCTGTCATCCATATGAATGGAGACCTCCTCATGATGCACAGAGTGGACCAGGACAAGCTCAGAACTGCTCTTGATTCACTCACGAACAACAAGACATAGGCACAATTCAGTTTTTTTCCTGACTGTCGTGTAACAAATAAAACGAAGACACATAAATAAAAACAATGTTTTCAGCTGTACTCTGAACTCAAATTAGCAGCGCTGCTACTGTCAGTATGTGGAGACCTGTTAGGAGAAGAGCTCTCCCATCTAAAGTACTGGCAGCCCGACCCCCTCCCTCCCGGGCAGGAGAAGAACGGTCTGCCTTGGTTGGGTCCAGGGCTGGTCACAATCTTCCTCTTGGCCCTCTTGCCACACTTGCACAATGGTGGAGTCAGTTTTCCTCCGTTGAACGGCTGTGGAGAGTCACAGGACAAAATTGAGGAGGAGTTGGACCGGAAGCTCTTTGCTCTTATCCACTTTGTGGTTGATGGAGTTCGAAAACTGGACCTCCTCTCCATTTGCTTGGTTGTACTACTGTTAGCGTCTCTGTGAGGCATACTGGTATCGATAGTGGTAGGTGGAAGTGGAGGTTGTTGCTGTACTAGAAGTGGAGTCGGGGTTTTTGGCGTGTGTGTGAGTGAAGGTGATTGTAAGAGGCGAGGTACTGATGTACAGGCAGACGTGTGTTGCTGATGTGTGGATAGATTAGCGGTGGTTATCTCGTGAGTGTTATGTGGAGGGAGGAGCGTGACTGGTAAAATGTGGGAGAGAAAGTTTGATCTCGATGGTGTGCTGTTGGCTTTGGGGCAGGCCTTTGAAATGTTGAGTGATTTGATCGAACTGCACTTGTCTGCATGGGTGCATTGGGTGGTGGTTGGCACTTCTGAAAAGTTGTTCTTCTCAAGTTCATCAAACTCGTGGGCAATTCCGTTCAGGAAGCTTTCGTCACTTGGACTTGTTTTTACCTGCCCCTCTTCTGCTGTTATTTTATGTAGCTGGGCACCACTGGGTGACTCAAGTGAAGCATTTTGACTGGTATTCTCCTCGTCTCCTAGAGTCGGACTTTCCTCAATTGTTGTGACCGGGTTGAGGGCATTCAAAGACGGCTGGTTTTCTTGTTTCTGAGCCGTTGATTCCTCCATTTTCCTCTCGGCCTCTTTCGACAGGTCTGGAGCTCTGATGAGTGGAGCTGCTGCCTGAAATAAAAGGGAATGTGGCAGTGTAATAATACGCGGCTAAATTTAGAAACAGCTACTAAAGATTGTGAAATTTTAGTTGCATTCTTGCACTGGGACCTATTGTTTCGTTCTATCATTTACTCTAATATGCTGTCACGTTCCTTTTAAACACTACCGGCTGCTTTACATTGACTAGAGTGTGGTAAAGTGAGTGTTTATTAACTTTTTTCCATAGGCTCTTTGTGATGTTCAGGTTGCACCCGTCCTTGACCAAACGATAGCAGAGTTTAGCAGTGTTTCGTGCGTCATCCAATCCTGCATGCACAGCAGAGCCAAGATTGGAACACCTCTAATCCAGACATCAATGAAAATTGTCCTTATTAGTGAGGTGTCCTTGTCTCAGTGGTCAAATTGCGTGCAATAAACTGTTCTTGGGGAAAGAAAAGGCTCATTTGAGAGGTGTCTTCATTACGTCAGGTGTGTCCTTTGAGAGGGGTTTGGTGCAAATGTCTCAAAACCTAAAGAGAAAGTCACGGAATGTTTAGGTTTGTACTAAGAAACGTACAGGTTTGAGATGGAAAAATGGCACCTCACATGTATCACCAGTGGTAGAGTGACATACCGCAGTGCTCTCTGCCAGTAAATGCTATCCCCAGGTCCTCCAGACTACCAGACAGTCCCGATGGCCTCCGATCGTAGAACTGTTTGTAGACAAGTCTCAGGTCGATCCACTGGTCAAAGTAGGCAGGTTTCCTGATCTGCTTCCGCCGACACTCGTACTGAAGACACACCCCCAGATCCCAGTCTGGAGGAGAAACACACCAAAAAGTGGGTGTGAACTAATCCCTCCACACCACAACTTTTGTCTTGTAAAAGTCTCGTGAAAGTTGAGTCAAGACGTATGTTGGGTAGAAGTTGCGGGTGTGGCATGACCAGCCTTGCGCGTGGCAATGCTCATCTCTCTCAGTGACTCTGGCTGGGTCTGATTATTTTCCATGTGCATACACTTTTTATTTACGTATACGTACGACAAGGTAAAATTACGTAATGAGTAATAAGTAAACAGTCTACATGTAGTGTACGACACGTGCAACACTCGTGCAACTTTGTGCATGGAAAAATAGAACGGTTCATGCAACTTGTGCCATGCAGCAAGACTTTCTCAGGGCATCACGCAACATGTTGCGTAAGATTACATAAGTTCCACAGTGTATGTTGGACTTCATTTCAGCATTGGAAAATCAGGCGATTCGGATGACTAGGTAGGCTCGCCAATAAATGACCACCAACCCATGATCCTTACCAGACCACGTGGCGAGAGCACACAGGTTGTCATCGCAGCTGCTGTACCCCTGTCCGGGCTCCATGAGACACACCCCCCTCTCCTCCCTCAGAGACCTCACCCACCTCCCAAACAGGTAGAGACATGTAGGTAGAGGAACTCCTCCGTCCACCTGGGCCTACAGAATACACCACATGTACAGAGAAAGAGGGAATAGAGAGATGGAGTAAGGATACCATTACTCTGGTCGGTCAAATTTTCACTTCTTGTTGTCGCATATTATGGCCTGCATTGCACACATTTTCAGTGGAACCTCCGAACAAGGGACACTTTCGGGCCAAATATTCTGTCCCTTGTAGAGAGGTCGTCTCTATCTTGGAAGTCAAATAATTATTAGCATGGAGTTGAAACAAGTTGTCCTTTGTAGAGAGGTCGTCCCTATCTCAGAGGGTCCCTTATCGGAGGTTCCACTGTACAGTTATAGGGACTGTCCCAAAATATTTGTCGCTATATGACTGATTAATAATATAGACACTAGCCATATGCAGCATAACACTGACAGTTTTTTCACCTACACCAATTGGTAGTGGATTACTTGGGATATTCCAGTCAGTTCCTTGCAGAAGTTGCTCAGGACAGGACACTCCAGAGGCTGCACGTACTGCTGGAACTCATCCACCACCTCTCCTGACTCCAGGTCTAGTAGCACTGCTGGGAACTCTACTATAATTGTGGAACAGCCTCACGTATAGTCTGGGTTTATCAATGTGGACTAACTGATTTCCTGGGTCACTTTCTTGTCTTTCCAACAGGTAGACTCGAAATCTATGACTATTACATATGAGAGGATTTGACCTGAATGGAGGGGAAAAAACCAACAGGTTATTATTGAGGATAGCTCTTTTTTACCAACCTCTTCTTCTTTTCCTGCTACTGCAAACGTCATTTTCAGCCTTTCTTTTCCGTTTCAGAAGGCCAAGTTTTCTGAATGAAGTTAGACATGATTTGTATCTATATTTGCATGTTTGATGGAGTCCAACTTACTTTGCCAGCTCCTTTGTTTTGGAAGTGGGCATGTTGGTGCTGCTCAACCGTTCAAAATGCCCGGGCGATTGTGATCTAATTAACCGCAATTACTGAAATTTTGACATATCGCGCATGCGCAGTACCTCTTTTGACCGCGTGGTTTGGACAAGACAAGGGAGGGAAGAAGGTAAGAGAGTGCTTCGTTTATACCGCTTGATGGAGTGTAATCTCACTGTTATATGAGGGTGACTGTCGCGAGTTCTGATATACCAAAACGATCGGTTTTTGTTCATAGAGCGCCATGACGGCGACCACTGAGGACTGGGCGGACAGTATGGTGGCTGCGGCCGAGCCTCCCACGGTGGAGGTGAAGCTCTTCGGCAAGTGGAACCCTGACGAAATTCACGTCAACGACATCAGTTTGGCAGTGAGTTGGCAACGTCCTAATATGTCATTGGCATAATTGTGCATTTATATCGTGTGTTCGTTTTCGACAGGACTACATATTCGTGAAGGAGAAAGGAGCAAAGTTTGTGCCCCACACTGCCGGTCGCTATGCCGTCAAACGTTTTAGAAAAGCCCAGGTATCACAGACACATTAACTTAGGCCAATAGAGAGAGAGAGATTATGAAAGTGGGTGGTTGGTTTCTTTTGCAGTGTCCGATTGTGGAGCGACTGACCAACTCGCTGATGATGCACGGCCGCAACAACGGAAAAAAGCTGATGGCCGTGCGGATTGTGAAACATGCGTTTGAGATACTCCACTTGCTGACAGGAGAGGTATGGGATGACCTTCCCACCCCACGCATTCTCCATCTTAACTAAAAACCTCTGCAACGAAATGCTATACATGTATTTGTAGTTTTGCCGTACCAATTCGTCGTTGTTGTTGTCCAGAACCCACTGCAAGTGTTGGTGGATGCCATAGCCAACAGTGGTCCAAGGGAGGACTCCACGCGTATCGGACGAGCCGGAACTGTTCGCAGACAGGCTGTGGATGTGTCGCCACTCAGACGAGTCAACCAGGCAATCTGGTTGCTCTGCACAGGTGTATGGGGCAAATGTAGTCCTATTTGCGTTAATGTGCCTTTTCTTGGCAGGTGCTCGCGAGGCTGCCTTCAGGAACATCAAAAGCATATCAGAGTGTCTTGCTGACGAACTAATAAATGCAGCAAAGGTGTGGTCTTCTCGTATATATATACTTTTAAGAAAGTTGATTTTCTTTGCTCTATTTTTATAGGGATCCTCAAACTCTTATGCAATCAAGAAGAAAGACGAGTTGGAGCGAGTGGCCAAGTCCAACCGTTGAACGGATATAGTAGTGTTTTCTTGTGGTTTTATTGTACAGGACGATGACCGTCGTGTGGTTCTGCGCATGTCATGACGTAATGCTTTCGCAAGCGCGTTTTTGCTGCCTCAGCAGTTTTCGTCCCGGATCCCTTGTCCGGCGAGAGGTTTTGTGTTTCTTCGCAAGATCTCACCAGTACTAGCCATGTGGCAACAGCGGCAATTTCTTGGGCTGATTTTCGTCGCAATTACGCTGCTGTTGAACGCGGCCGTCGCTGTTCCTCCACCGACCGACTACGATACTGTTTTCTCCTACAACCTCAGCTCCTCCGTCACTCCTTGCAGGCAAGTCCCTCGCAGGGCGACTCCTCAAGGAACCCACCCGTTCTCTCACATTCGCTCCCATACGCGTCTAAGTTGGTTCATAATAATTATGCATGCCGTCTGGCTAGAAGCATTGATGCCCCGTGCAGAAATTATGTTTTTTCCTCTGGCTGTCTCCCCAGGATTTGGATTTTCCCGTGTCTGGGAGGTGTCTACCAGTGCTCTAGTCAGAATATCTATGCCGGGTCCTTCATAGGGCCCCAGCCTGCCTGCCCAACTCTACAGAACGCGACAGCTACGCCACCCCCTGGTGTCTGCTCGCTCGCCAACGATAGCTGTGCCTTTGTTCCCGATGCTCCGACTTGCGTTTCCTGGTTCAGTAACTGTGACCGCCAGTACAGCTGCACCACGGAAGAGGGATTTACTGCCGCTGTGGAGGAAGGACAAGACTGCTACCCCATCACCCCCAGACCACCTAGCCCCAACTCTGTCTGTGTCCCTGCGGATGGCTCATGTGAATGGTAAATTCAGTGAGCTGCTTACCTCCATGTATTGCTGCCTATTAAAGCGTTGTCCTAGAGTTCTGTATTGCCATGACCATGCCCTTAAGCCTAAGCGTTGGATATTAGATTTGGATTGAGTGTGGTAATCCCTGTCACAAACATTGGCGATTAGTTTCGTTACGATTTTTGTGTAGGTACAATCCCTGTCACACGTGGCAAGGCTGGTGCAACGGAGCCTACCAGTGTGGTACTGTGGAAGCCTATTCTTTCTTTGTGAACGGTCCACAGCCTCTGTGCGTGCTTCCTCCAGAGAACGCCACTCAGCCGGTGCCTGCAGGAGAGTGTGTGTATCAGGACGGCCAGTGTGCGTGGTCAGGTATGAAGTAACACATGAAGTACGTACGTCTGTTTTGATAGATTCAGATGTCTGGAATAGGCAAAAAGCATAATTTGACATTTTTCGTGATCTGTGAAAGACAGAACATGCAAGTTGCGTAATTTGATGTCATGCAAGTTCTGAAGTTTCCATTAGTTTCGCAGCTGACAGTACAGCGTGTGAATGTGATTGACTCTCTTTGCTACAGAGTGTGTGTCTTGGAGGAGCCCCTGTCAGACGAGCTGGGAGTGTGGCTCCGACTACGAACACAGAGTAGCCCAGTCCCAGCCTCTACCGCCTTGCCCTGCACCACCTGGACAGTTCATCGCCTCCACCAGAACCAGGAGTCTGTCAGATTTCGCCGGAGTCTCAATCGTGTGAATTCCTCGGAGAACGTACGTTTGTATTGTTCCGTAAGCACCGCTGTTGTGTCACAGTATAGACCTGCAGTGTTGTGATTGCTCTACTTGTGTGTGAGGTTTAATTGGATTAATGAAGCCTCAGTGGAGCATGCACACTTATGCAAGAATCTGTATCTGTGAGGTTTTTATTGTCCTGTACCTTCCTTCCTGTATCCTGTTGACGAGAGCAGTGACGGGTAATTGAATTTTTTAAGTTCTCAACTGCATATATAAGAGTGTACATAATTTATCTCCATAGCAGATATGTATGTACTTGAGGACATTGTTTTGTTCACCTAATTTAATGCGCAACACGACAGTCATACCATCGTACACGTGATTGTTTACGCTATGCCTCTGAGTCTCGTGAATATACTTTCCTTGACCCTCCCACATGCACTATGCCCCATATGATGTGTATACTGGTGTGCAATACAATACTTGTGCACCACACATGCACTATGCCCCATATGATGTGTATACTGGTGTGCAATACAATACTTGTGCACCACACATGCACTATGCCCCATATGATGTGTATACTGGTGTGCAATACAATACACTTGTGCACCACACATGCATTATAACACGTGTGCATACGACATTGATATGTAGGTCGTTGATCTTCCCTGTATAAATGTAAAACACCTGCCACCTAGAGGCTATATACCCCAGACCTTTCCTAGTTTCCTTATCGGCTTTAGGTTTGTGTACATTGAAGCCTCGTGACCAGTGTAATATGTGGCTTCCTAAAGGAACGTCTGAAATGCTGTTTTGCGCAGTTTTGCTCTCCCTCTGCACTATGGGTTCTTCTTGCTAAATCTGTACCGTAAGCTCTCTATTCCAACCCACAGCTGAGTGTACCGGAGGTCAGGTGTATACCACGTGTGGAACACTGTGCCCTCGAACCTGCGAGAACTTCCAGCTGGACTTTGCCTGTACCAGCGAGTGCGTCCGCGGCTGTTTCTGTCCCGACGACACCGTCCTTCACGACGGACAGTGCATCCCTTCCTGGCAGTGCCCCGGAGAAAGTGTGTTCAGCAAAATATTCTCTGTACACGTACTTCTAACTATATTTGTTAAGTCTGTTTTGGGGGTTTGTTTTTCTTGTGCATTTAATCAGAAAAAACTCATAATTTGTAGTGCTGGCACAGGTGCTTCAGAAAAGTTACAGACAGTGTCCATTTTTTTAACTCTTGAAGTGTACAATATTGCCATGGATATCCTTTTTCGTCCAGGGCAAGTGGTGGACAAGTTTTGTGAACTTCATTTGAAATTTTTCGTAGATCCCTGCTATTTGGTTGACTGTGCCCCTGGTTACGAGTGTCTTGTCTACGAGGCTACTGGGGAAGCTTATTGTTCTCCTAATTGCGAGGAGCTCAACCCATGTGCTCCTGACGAACTGTGTGTACTGACAACTGTTACTGCATCCGTGCTCCCTGTCCTCCTATACTCTCTTGTCAAGGTATACATGTACACGAAGTAATGTATAGCTATAATATTATAGTGTTTCAAACCGACTAAGGGTTCAGCAAAATTTGGGTGAGGTAGACATTGGTACAGAGAGATAGAACACTTCCATTCCATACTCCAACTTTAGTCAAAGCATTAAGGATAGTTAGGTTGTCTCTTCTTCCGATCATGTGCCTACAAAAAATGCGAAATCGTTGAAACACTTATATTTTAATCCATAGTTACCCCACCCCCCCCCAGCAAGTTCACTTTTTGTGTGCAAGAAAGTGAACGTAATCTCTTGCACCCTATGCAGGCCAATGTACAGGAGGGAGGGAGTGGCAGGATTGTGGGACTGCCTGTCCTCTGTCCTGCAGCAACTATACCACAGAGGTGGTGTGCACTGAGCAGTGTGTGCGGGGCTGTTTCTGTCCGTATGGGTCCTACATACACGGAGACGGATGTGTCCCCATCACGGAGTGTCCTGGTTACACTTGTGAGTTTAGCCGTTTTCGAGGATGCTTCGATATTGTACACCTACTACAGTACATACACAGTTTGTCCTTTCTGCATATCGTGTGCAAGTAATTCGAACGAACTACTGTACCCAACGTATGGGTTTTTTAATAAAAAGAAGAAAGGCCAGTTTGAGAATGCGTGAAAGGCTGCCTGACCTATGTAGTTGTCAATGTCACTAGCGTTTTGGTAGATATGCATGTATGTGCTGGCTTGCACGATGCCAACAAAAATTGTTCCCCAACCAGATTCGATAGTTTAAACTACATATGACCCAATTTTGCAACGTATTGCTTTGAAGTGGGCTCCGGTGGCTCGTCATAACTCCTTGAGGTGGGCATACGTCAGGAATTCGCTGAGTGTATAGAATCCCTGTGTGTAAATTATCCACGCAAGCCCTTAAATAACAATGTTCCATGTCACATACATTTTGTCTACTGTAGGCTAACCGTTCCTTGTTCTGTAGCCCAGTGTGCTCTGATACTGTGTCCTGCCGGCCACGTCTGCGTGGACGACGGTACAAGTGATGCCTATTGTGACCCGTCGTGCGACCCAGCACATCACCTGTGTGCCGAGGGAGAGAGATGTGAGCTGATCGACCAAGACTGCCACGGCAGAGCTTCCTGTCCTCACGCCTACAGGTGCACCGAAGGTGAGACCGTAGCTCTTTTGTGAGGTGTGAACCCTTTCTTCCACAAAACACAGTTCTTTTGAACCTTAATACCAGTGTTGTTTGTATAAACACTTCTGTGCTACAGTTATAAAGGGAGAAGCTTTCGCAATTCAATGGTGACTTTCAGAGAAAAGATTGTTTGCCCTCTGATGCACAAACTGTGCATACCAACGCACAAACATTGCAGACAAAAACACTATTTCTCCCTCGAAAGATTCCTAGGATACTGTAGTCTGTAGAATCGAAATATCGTCTACTAAAAATACGTACTCTATTACCAGGGTGTACTGGAGGGAAGGTGTGGACGGAGTGTGGTACAGCGTGTCCAGAGACGTGTGATAACTACGACATACCTATCGCCTGCACGCTGCAGTGCGTCACGGGCTGCTTCTGTCCTACTGGCCAAGTTGAACTCAACGGAGGGTGTATTGATCCCACACGGTGCAGTGGTGAGCCGTTTTGTAGCAAGTCTCTATTCTATGTTTTACAGCACTGTAGGGCCATATCCATATAGCAGAGATTTGAACATTGCAACCCTGTGGGGCTCATTGGCACTCTGGTTGGGGGGGAGGCTACATCTATGGTTTAAGTTCATGTATGGATTGGTGTTGTTTAACAGTGTCTCTGTATGCACTTTGCTTGTTCTTATTCACAGCCTGCAACTCCTGCAAGGAAGGAGAGGTCTGTTCAGTTGTGGGTGAGAGTAATGGTGCTCGCTACCCCATATGCAAAGGCCCAACTACAGGTAGGCACAATACTTTTATTATTTATTTTCGAGGTGTGGTTCTACATAGTTCCATGTTCTGGTGGTTCTGGGGAGCCCCATTTTTCCGCTTGTCCTGAGGACTATCGCTGTGTGACTCACAACACAACTAACATTCGCTACTGTCTCCAGTCCTGCTACCTGGAGAACGGAGGGTGCCCTCCTGAGCAGGTCTGCTACTACGAGAGGAAAGATGAGGACTGCAACCAACTCCTGGAGCCTTGCTTCAAGACGGCATGCACCGATGTCCCTGGTAAACAATGCACAATAGCACTGATGTCCCAGTTAGGTTGAATAGAGCACATTGTAAATGTGTCTTACCTACTAACAGCAGTAACACATTCAAGAGGGACAGCTTTTTTAACGGGCGTTGTTTCTAATAAGCTTACCTTACAATGTAACTTTGTGAGCTCTTCCATCTGCATGCTTAAGATAGTGTCATTTTGAGACACATTTTTTGGCTCAGCTGTAGTTCCGTTTTCAGATGTAGTTGCTGAGGATGCTTGTCCGATTGGATGGGAGAACAACGAATGTGCCAGTGCTTGCCAGAGTACTTGTGAAGACTACCTGAACCCTCGGATAAGGCCATGCATAGCCGTGTGTGCTAAATGCCAGTGTCCCTACGGGATGGTTGTGTTCAGAGACCGTTGTGTTGATCCACTGGAGTGTCAAATACTACTGAACGGTAAGCCTTGAATCATCAAACCAAAAATTCTATCTCTATCGTCAATTTTTTTGCAGAATCTATACCGCTAAATCCTCTACCTCAGGTCTGGTCAATAGTGTTACATATCCCTTGAAATATGTATTGACGACGTGTGCATCTATGATTATTATTAAACAGCCTGAGAGCGTGCTGCTGGTTCAGTTTGCACTGGTCGGAGTAACGCGTGATACGGTGGACAGTGCCGGGTTTGCTACGTCTGCACGGAACTTGTTGTCGAGAGAGGGAGTACACGTGCAAGTGGAGGTCTATGCCGTGCTCGAAGAGAATGGAAACACTGTGTAAGCTCAATCGCTTGCATTGTTTTTACAGCAAAATGAGAGCATACTGTAGCCGGTATGTTCCTAATGCTAATAAGAGGGTTGTGCTGAAGTTTAGAGAGCCGGTACACACATACAATAAAGACCGAGACACTATATATGCATGCGTACTCTAAATCGTATAAGTAGCATAGAGAGAGCCCACGTGAGGCCAGTCTAGTACTAGCCAAGTCTAATGGAAGCTGTATCGTATCTATTGAATGTGCTGAGACTCTGTAAGAAAGAGAACAAGACCCTAGCTGGTAGAAGCCAGGGGTGACGCAAGCGCTACTGGCGAGGTACCGGGGGTTACACATATGTTCTGTTGGTGTTTTGAACGCAGGGTTGTGCTGAAGTTTAGAGCTGATCGTGATCAGTTAAGCTCTGTCGCCAACTTGCTGATGGACAATAGTGATGCACTGAGTACTAAGGTTTCCTCTGCATCTGTAGGTGAGCCGTGAAATCTGAACCGTTCAGGGTATCATACTGGTTACATACGAAGAGTTGTAACTCATTAAGCACGAGTCTAAGTCTAAGCATGTAAGTAATGGAAAAGAGGTGCAAGCATAATATTGCTCTTGGGAAGATGTACAATTTGTTGTATTTCAAGCTAGACTGCCAGATTTCGTGGGCGCCAATTTTTGTACGACGGTTATAAACATGACCGATTCATGCCTGCAAAATATTTCCTTGCTATAATATGTATATTATCGTGTATGTACATGTGGTCTACAGTGGCCACTCCCCAGCAAGAGGAAGAAGAGGATGACGATGGCGATGATGTTTCTGCCGGTGTAATCGCTGGCTCTATAGTGGCTGCTGTCTTCACGAGTTCAGTAGTGATATTGGTTCTTGTGATCATCGCCGTGCTGGTTGCGAGGAGCCCAAAACTGAAACATGTTCACGTTCCACTTGACGAGTGAGCCTATTATTATGCCCAGTATCCAGTATTTTTTAAGTCATTTATTCAATTTTACAGAAAGGAAAAACCTCTTGATGGTCTGAGTTACGCGAGTTTGGTATCCAAAGGTACTGAGAATGACTATGAAATTTCTTAAACGATGGAGACTCCACAATTTTTTAACCCATGCTGCTGCACATATCTCGTAAAATACGTTGCCATTCTTTTTATACCCAGCTACGTGACGTACTTACGTAATTTCATGTAATCACGTGAATGTTCCAGTTTTTACCAACTGTAACTGATTTAAAATGTGTATGTTTCTACATCTATCAACTGAAAAGAGTTTGTACCACTAAGCTAGCTATATTTACGAAAGTCTTCTGCGGGCAAGATTATACTTCTTTGAGATTTAAGTTGACCTGTTGGTACCTTTGATTGACCCTATTAGAGGAAGACAAAAATGGTTAGGCATAACAAAGTAATATTTAGAGTACCATCGGCAAGTGCAAAATTTGGGGAAATTTTGCACTCAGACATACAATGGGGCGTGTAATTAGTTCTTTCACGAGTAATTTATCTCTCAAATATCACAGAACAAGATTCTCTCTTTTGCAACTAGATAGAATCACGTGAAATGGTCATGCAGCGCTGCATGCATTCTCAGCTCAGACACGTATGTGTGTTATGAGCTCACTCATTGTCAGGAATGAGAGGCAACCTCTCTTGCTGCATCTGAGGCCTCCTGATGGTGGCGTAGCGGATGTAGATCAGCATAAACACCACTGCCAATGCCGTCAGTGTGCCAGCGAGCCCCAGAATGACCATTCCCGACAGCACCCCATCCGAGAGCCCTTCTTCTTCATTGTTGTTGGTAGTCATGATAATAGTGTCCCCTCCGCTTCCAGACTCAACTGTGCATGAAGAAAGTATGGATCAATGCACATTTACGTGATCAATACAATATCATGTGTATAACTATCTACATGCATGTTTGTGTGGATGTTTGCGTACAGATTGAGATTGATACGATGTCGAAACTGTAAGTGGCGAAGAAATCCTGGTTTCGTGAGATCAGCGATGATATGTAGACTGCCACTGCGGCCGCTGTGTCCAGTTTCAGTGTAGCCGATTCGTTCATGATTGCCGAGATTGATACAGTAACACTGGGAGACAGAGAAGTGTCAAACATACCAGTTCATCTGGTGTGGCATGCATTTCTAGTCTCTAAACTTTGCTGCCTAACTAAAGCTCAAAACAGTATGTTAAAAGTTTTTATCCGAAAAGCTATCTTAGTGCTTCGCTCACATAAACTTACATTATTGTTTCCGATGCTTCTTGTTGGACTTCAGCTACCATGGGGCTGTAGTAGAGCATGATGTTTTTTTCAATAGCCTCAGAGAGGGTTTCTCCAATGAGGGCTTCGAATTCATCCACACGTGGAGAAAACTCGGCTATAGTTCCGTTCATAGTGAACCTCAGAAAACACACCTACACACGATAAAAACCAACCATTAAGGAGCGATTTGCAATAGGCAGTGTTAACCTTTAGCTGTTTGGCGCTGATCTCTACGTCGAGGGGTTCTGGTTGGTCGGGGTAAGGAAAAACCGCCGCCGGGAGCGGTTCACCACTCCCAGGCTCAGGATCTGTGGAGGTACGTTGGGTGTAAAAGGTGAATATGTATAACATACTTGGTAGTGGACCTGGTGTTTTTGTCCGCGTCCGAGTGCCTGTACGTGTAGTGTCCTCATCAGTAGTACGGGTACGGGTGGTGCGAGGGGTGCCAGTGCGGGTACGGCCACCTGGGGTGCCTGTACGTGTAGTGTCCTCATCAGTAGTACGGGTACGGGTGGTGCGAGGGGTGCCAGTGCGGGTACGGCCACCTGGGGTGCCTGTACGTGTAGTGTCCTCATCAGTAGTACGGGTACGGGTGGTGCGAGGGGTGCCAGTGCGGGTACGGCCACCTGGGGTGCCTGTACGTGTAGTGTCCTCATCAGTAGTACGGGTACGGTTGGTGCGAGGGGTGCCAGTGCGGGTACGGCCACCTGGGGTGCCTGTACGTGTAGTGTCCTCATCAGTAGTACGGGTACGGTTGGTGCGAGGGGTGCCAGTGCGGGTACGGTCACCAGGGGTGCCTGTACGTGTAGTGTCCTCATCAGTAGTACGGGTACGGTTGGTGCGAGGGGTGCCAGTGCGGGTACGGCCACCTGGGGTGCCTGTACGTGTAGTGTCCTCATCAGTAGTACGGGTACGGGTGGTGCGAGGGGTGCCAGTGCGGGTACGGCCACCTGGGGTGCCTGTACGTGTAGTGTCCTCATCAGTAGTACGGGTACGGTTGGTGCGAGGGGTGCCAGTGCGGGTACGGCCACCTGGGGTGCCTGTACGTGTAGTGTCCTCATCAGTAGTACGGGTACGAGTGGTGTCAGTACGGTTGGTGCGAGGGGTGCCAGTGCGGGTACGGCCAGTGCGAGGAGTTCCTGGACAACGGCGTGGACTGCCAGTTCGACGAGGGGTGCCAACTTCAGGTGGCGGGGGGCATGTTGGAGGTGGGGGACAAGTGGGAGTTGGGGGAAGTGGGGGACAAGTGGAGGTTGGGGGACAGGTGGGACACATCGGGGGTCTAGTTGGCATAGTTGTTACTTCAGTCACGGGTGTCATGGTTGCAGTTTCATTCGTGGGTGGTTGCGTAGTTGCCGGTGGAGTTGGAGGTGGAACTGTGATAGTTGGTCTGGTTGTTGGCTCTGTTGTAGGAGGTGGTGCCTGCCTGAAAGACTGATCTGATGGCGCTTGTCCATCTTCTTCAGTGTCTTGTGTTGCTGGGTTTGGATTGTTGGTTTCAGGATTACCTGATGGTGGTGGTGGGGGAGGGGGTCTACCGCTTTGTGGTCTGCCAGTAGGCGATTGTGGAGGGGGAGGGGGTCCACCATTTTGTGGTCCGCCAGCTTGTGATGGTGGAGGGGGAGGGAGTCCGCCGTTTTGTGGTCCTCCAGCTGGTGGCGGAGGGGGTCCACCATTTTGTGGTCTGCCAGCAGGCGACGCTGGTTGAGGTTGCTGGCGTAGTGTAGCATTACCACCAGGCTGTGCTGGTGCAGGAGGAGGGGGAGGAGGCGGAGGAGGAGGTGGTCTAGGACCTCCAGGTGGTGGAGGTGGAGGTGGAGGTGGTCTAGGACCTCCCGGAGGAGGAGGAGGTGGTCGAGGACCTCCAGGAGGAGGGGGAGGAGGCGGAGGAGGAGGTGGTCTAGGACCTCCAGGTGGTGGAGGTGGAGGTGGTCTAGGACCTCCCGGAGGAGGGGGAGGAGGTGGAGGTGGTCTAGGACCTCCAGGAGGAGGAGGTGGACCTGGCCTCGGAGGCTGAGGTGGTTGAGGAGCAGGTTGGGGAGCAGGTCCTCCAGGCGGCGGAGGAGGAGGGCCTCCAGGTGGCGGGGAAGGAGCTGGTCCTCCAGGTGGCGGCGGAGGAGGACCTCCAGGAGGCGGCGGTGGAGGAGGAGGACCTCCAGGAGGCGGCTGTGGTGGCCTCCCAGGAGGCGGTGGTGGTGGAGGAGGAGGCGGTGGTTGCCGAACCCTCAAAGATGGCAATTTCTCTCTCCCAGTCTTGTGAACAAATCCGTAGGCCTGCGCTAGAGCAGCACACAAGAGCACAATTGCTAAACTTCTTGCTATCATCTTCATTGTTGCAGTTTACAATGCATGTGAGACGTGCTCTTTGAGTTTCACTCTTATATACGAAGGCATCTGTGTCTTCGTGACTGTCTTGCTGATTGCTCGTGTACCAATGTTCTTGATCAAAAACATTCATGTAGGTGAAGACCTACAATATGTTTCATGGCCTTGGGTTCCTTTTGACACGTAACATCAAATGATTTGTGTGCATACTCTACGTGTAATATTGCATCAGTATCATCTTTGTAAAGCTACACTATCATATTATTGTGGTATTATGACCTTTGTTATGTCCATATGTGTCGTTGTCTTATCATGGTGACAAAAGCAGATCGGTCACTTTTGATGTACTTGTTTTATGGCTGCTCACGCACTATTCTTTTCATCGCCTTGCATAATAATCGCTCTGAGGTGTGAACATCACATTTTACAAAGGCGTTACATCAAACACAATGTTTCACAGTACGGTAACTTGTGCAATATGGCTACAGAGTAAGAGACTAGACCAATGCTGTTTGTTCAGTGACTTCATCTGTTCCCCCGTTACAGATCCTAATGTGTTCCACGTGTATGTGCAGTGTGTGTTGTTGGTGTAAGACAAAGATTCAAAGTTGTACCTCATTTTCAGGCATACTTCAATGTTGAATCAGTTGCATTGTCACTAACTTGTCCAGGGAGGGTGTTGTTGTCTCCTCTATCTGTTTTCTCTTTCTTCTCCTGTGGATCACGTACCCCACAATCGCTAGTGCCACTGCCATACCCAATGTCATAACTGAGGCAACCGTGCCTGCTATTGCGCCTGTACCCATGCGACCCTTTCCTCCCTTTGACCACACAGTGTCGGCAGTTTGCTGGAGAGAGCGCTCGTTCCACGTCATTGACTTCCACGCTTTGGTGTTCTCAGACACTGAGGTCACATTTCTCGCGTGAAACACCTTGAACTTGTACCACTCAAAGAAGTCGTCGCCCAGCTCCGCTATTTCTTTTGGAGTTGCTCCTTCACCTCCCATGGAGGAGCGTTTCTTGTTGACACCGTATCCAAAACTGTGCCCGTGTCCGAGTATGAACTCGACTCTGCTGTATCTGATAGTTGCAACTGTTCCTGTTGATGAACGCGATTCATTACTGCCGTCCAGATCAGGACTGGAACCAGCAATAAAGGCCCAGCCCCTGTGATAAATCTCGGGGTCACTTGACATAGAGCTCACTTTCCTACTGTGAACTGTGCACATAACAATTCAGCATACATGCTGTTATAATATTAGTGTGCAAGGCTTACCACACGCAACTCTAGCTATCTGTATAGCCAGTTGATCCATGTTGTCGTAGATGTATGAAGCAATGTAGTTCTCTATGTCTCCTAGCTGACTCAGGATAGTGTCGTTGAAGTAGGACCTTATTATTGTTGCCACCCTAAACGATAACAGTATATATAATATGGCAGTGTGGATTATTGTGCTATGGAAGAAAATATGTAGGTGAACATGCGACGTACATGGTTGATTCTTCATATTCCTGGTCGCTCACGAGCACCCCAACCACTGAAGAGTTAAGACTCTGGGACCTCAGTATTGCGTTGACAGAATCAACGAAATCTTCTCCATACAGTGTAAACATCACTGGTGTCATCTCAAATAACTCGTATTCGACAAGTGCCAACTGTGAAAAAGAGCAGTAGCTATGGAGTAAATCTTGGTTTTCACTGGACTAATACATCTACCTGATCATAGTAAGTGTAATTCTGCTTTTTTTCGCCTTGGTCATCACTTCATAATGTTAAAATTGAATATGAAAATAGTTACTTTCTCAGATCATGAACTCACCTTGAATTTTCGTCCTGCTGAGCTAGAGATGTAGATGCTAAGAACAGGAGTCCTACAATAGCCAGTATAATGTGTATCAGTCTTCGGCCCATGTTGCACTCGCCTGTAACTGACAGGAGGTGCTAGCTTTCTCACCGGAACACAAAGTTCTCGTATTTAAAGGTCCAATTAATTCCTTCTCGGTCAGGGCTATGTCAGCAATGAGCTGCTGGTGTGTTCGTGAGCTTGTACTTAAGTGTCATTCGATGCTTAGTCTGATCGTTCTAAACTGTTTTTGCACTCTGATTGAGTGTTCTCGGCAGAAAACTCTTAGTGCGAATAATTATGTCTCGTACTTGTTCTTGTGTTCATGTACTGTATACTGATTGCAACTGCAAAGGCTATTAGGCAGATTGATTTCTGCTTCTCAAGTGTCATGTGTATGCTGACCATGTCCTATTTATATTCCACTCCTACAGCTACAGCCAGTCAAACGAAAACTGCGGCAAAAATTTCACGTGTTAGTTAGACGAGGCTGGGACTTCCTATCGAGAGAAGAAAGGATATGAAACTTCGTGCTGTTCTTGTGGTCTTTGTGGCTCTAGTCTCTCTACTGTCTCTAGTCCACTCGGCCGCCCTAAGACCTCGCGATGAAAACAAACAGAACCAGTATCCGTGGTACTACTGGAACCAGGACGGACAGCAGGGCCAGTATCCGCCGTACTACATGCAGAGATGTGGGGCCCAGGCCATCGGGGGTCTTAACCTCCTCTCCTTGGTCGTGATTGGGATGGCAGCCCTTGCCTTTGCCGGTGTACCACAGACCTCAGAGTTGCAACAGTTGAAGAATCTCAAGGACTGATTGTTTTTTCTGTACTTATATGAAATTACCTTTCGTTTAGTTGTCGGTGTGTTTTGCATTATGCTTGTGTATAATTATACATTTATAAGAAGTCAACTTTACTGTCCTAAAAATAATGATATAAACACGTTATTAACATGGAAAGTTTTTAGATGCATATCTGCAGGTTTTGACCTCCACGTATGTATCGTATAAGTAGCATAGAGAGCCGACGTGGGGCCAGTATAGCAAGTCTAATGGCAGCTGTATCGTATGTATTGAATGTGCTGAGACTC